GTGGAGGGTACGGATAGTGCACACCTCCTTGGGAAAGGGCTCAGCTACAGCTTGGACTTTACTTAACCAATGAAAACAATATAAGCTAATTACATGTACCTTTATATTAATCTGAAATAAAAGAAATTGAGGGAATATAACAATTGATACTATTTGGCTTCAAATTAAAAAAAAGAACTTAGTTCAAGCTAGCTGAAGAAAAAAGAAAATCGGGTCAGGCTAAGGGCAGAGCAGGGGGTGTTTACTATAAACATGTAGAGGTGTCTCATCAATTTCAAGGAAACAGAAGGACAACTTGACTTTCAAGTTTGCCTGGATCCAGGAAACAAAAAATCTAAAAAGATCCCCAAGATTTCCTCTTCGTGCAGTCTTTCTTTATACACATACACTTTATTCTCTCTTTGTGGATTTAATCACTTCACATTAACATGGTTTTAACATACTCTGTGTAAACATCATTTCAAGGTTTATAAATTTTGATTCAAAACTAAACTAGGGGTTAGGCACAGTAGCTCGTGCCTGTAATCCTAGCACTTTGGGAGGCCAAGGAGGGAAGATCACTTGAGGTCTGGAGTTTAAAACCAGCCTGGACAATACTGAGATTCATCTCTACAAAAAAATAAAAAAATAAAAATAGCCAGGTATGGTGGCGCTCACCTGTAGTTCCAGCTACCAGGGAGGCTGAGGCAGGAGGATCACTTAAATCCAGGTGTTTGAGGTTGCAGTGAGTTATGATGGCGCTATTGCATTCCAGGCTGGGTGTCAGAGGGAGTTTCTCAAAAATACCAAAAAACAAAACAAAACAAACAAACAAAAAAAAGAAAACAAACAAACAAAACAACTAAATTAAATTCCTTTAAAGACTTTTATTGGCTAAGTTGGGTTGGATTTATACCATGATTCCATCAGTGGTGGCCACCATGGTGGGTGGAGACACAAAATAAAAATAGGGCAGCCAAGAGCTTGCCCTGTTCATCAGAAAAGACAGGGAAGGGGGTCATGAACGGCAGGCTGCCCTTTCTTCCTTCCATCTGTTGTCTAATTTCTATACGTGGTAGGAAGTGTTTTTACAGATTAAATGAAGCCTGTCCAGTTGAGATGTGCAAGCTCTCACTACACTTTTAGTCTGTATTTCTCAGCGTTTCTTGGAGGTTTGGGAAGTGATTTTCTAAAATTGTCATTTTTGAAGAGGTAGTACTACTTAAATTATGAAGTGTCAGAACTGGGAGAGATAAGAAGAAAGCTCAGTTCTCACTTCTGCAGAGGAAGTTTGTGTCTATGTGTTGACTGGGATTGTGGACTGATTTTTTTTTCCCCCTGTTCAAAGTGATAATGCTCTCCATCCTGGAAGCAATCGTCGTCATCTTGATGATCTTCCTCCGGAAGCGAATCCGTGTCGCCATTTTCCTGCTGCAGGAAGGGAGCAAGTAAGACCCTTAACGTAGAAACTCGGATAATGGATAGCGATCAGTAAAGTCAATCACCATCCACGGCATAGACATCCCAGACTGGTTTCCCTTTTAAAAAAGAAGACTTGTTAAAACTATTTCCCACTCAAGAAGACTTATTCAAGTTCAAGTTGTTAATAAGCCTTTTAACATC